AAGAGCTTCTGCACAGCAAAAGAGACAATAACAAAAACAAAGAGAAACCCCACCAACTGGGAGAACATTTTTGCACCCAACACTAATGATAAAGGACTGATCACAAAAATCTGCAAAGAGCTGATGAGACTCAGCAACAACAAAGAAAATAATCCAGTCAAAAAATGGGCAGAAGAGCTAAAAAGAAACTTCTCTGAAGAGGAAATGCAAATGGCCAACAGACATATGAAAAATGTTCAACATCACTTGTAATCAGGGAAATGCAAATCAAAACTACCATGAGATACCATCTTACACCAGTGAGAATGGCACATATTAAAAAAACTAGCAACAACAAATGTTGGCGAGGGTGTGGAGAAAAAGGAATCTTCTGCACTGTTGGTGGGAGTGCAAACTGGTCAACCACTATGGAGAGCTGTGTGGAGATTTCTGGACCTACTAAACATAGAGCTTCCATATGATCCAGCAATTCCACTCCTAGGTATTTACCCAAAGGACACAGAAACATCAATTCCAAAGAGCACCTGCACCCCTATGTTTATAGCAGCACTGTTACAATAGCTAAGCTTTGGAAACAACCCAATGCCCAAAATAGATGACTGGATCAAGAAGATGTGGTACATATACACCATGGAATATTACTCAGCATTCAAAAAAGATAAAACACATGCAATTTGCAGCAACATGGATGGCACTGGAAGGGATCATGCTCAGCGAAATAAGCCAAAAAGAAAAAGAAAAATACCGGATGGTCTCACTCATAGCAGAATCTAGAAAACTTAAATAAGGGACCAGGAAAATGAATTAAGAAAGAAAATCAAAATCAACAAAAAACTATGAACCAGAGACACTTTTTGGGGGGTGGGGGCGGGAGGGGAAGGATTGGGGTCAGAATGGGGCGTTTGCAATTGTATGGGGGAATATAAAAATAAAATTAATATTTAAAAAAAAAAAAAACAAAAAAAAATGGAAAAAAAAAAAACAAAAAAAAAAAATGCATTCCTTGAGCCTAAAATCTAGAATTTTGAGACATCACATAGTACAGAAGCAACTTTTGAGAGCAGGAGAGGGAACCTGTATTTCTGTGAATAATCCATTTAACCTTTCATGTATAATTTGTACTGCCTTCAAGAAGAATACTTTTTAATAGAAGTGACTCTAAAGTTAAAAGTGGTTAAGGTAAGTTTTGTGTTAGGTATATATTACCACAACTTAAAAAGAAATCTACTGTTTATAATAATTTAGTTCTGGAAATTTCTGTATACCTAAGACTATATGAAATATTGTAATGAGTATAATCTTCAGACACAGTTCTTCTCCAAAAGGAGTGCTCACATTTATAGGGAGAAAATGAAAAAAAATATATAGATCCATACATAAAAGCAGATAGGTTTAACACTTGGGAAATTTTGAAATTTTTGATACTTAATTCCTTTTTTGGACAAGTTCCCAATTTCCTTAAAGTATTTTCTCTCTCTTCATTACACATGACAATCACCAGACCACCAAATAACAAAGCTATTCACAACATACAGTCGTTTTCACCAAGAGGGAGAAAAAACACAGTGGGAGTTTGATTTCTTGTGCCCCTTAGCAGCCTACAAATTTCACCTGAACCAACCAGAAAAAGCACAGTTTACACCAATGGCATCATAGCTCTGACTGGAATTGAGACACCCTAAGCAATGACTTGCAAAGGAGGAGACATTTTTAAATTCTAAAATTGCCAGATTGTTCAGAAAGCATTGGATAGAATTGTAGGAATCACAGTATAGAATTGATGGCAGTGATCAGGGAATGAGAATTCAGTGTATCCTCAGCTAGTCTGGAAAAGTTTCCTGCACAAAAAGACATCTGAATAGTCCTTCAAGAAGAGGTGTCATTCTGATAATCAGAGAGAAAGGACTGACATCCAGGTATTGGAACAACATATTCTAAGAATAAACACAGCAGTTGTGGGGGACAATTTCCTTTGAAAAAGTTAATTCAAACATATTAAGTTCACTAAGTAGCTTTTGTTAGATACATGACTTTAGGAATGTTCAATGTAGAGTGACACTTTTCTATTAAAAATGGAGAAAAATGTTTAACTAAAAGATTTCCCTTGTTCAAAATATACCTAATATACAAAATGTACATAAATGTTTAATATTTGACCATTTTCACGTTTGTCTCCAAATACAGCATTTGATGTACTGTAATAAAGTTAAAGAACTGGACTTGCTTTTGAATTATTAAAGTCTAATCCCAAAGCAGGCTTTTAATTAAGAATGAGAATCCGGGAGTGTTTGGAATGACTTTTGGTGAGTTCCTCCACAGATGAAAGAAAACAAATTTGCAATTTTGACCTTTTCCTAAAATTCCCCAGGCCTACTCATTTCTGAATCAGATCAGTGTACTCTGATTGGATTCTGAGAATGCTTAACCAAGTGTATTTCATTACAAATGATGTTTATATTTTAAAGAATATAAATATTAAAATGTGGAAAAGTTTTTATTCTTCCATTTCTAATATATTTATTCCCATGTTTAGTTAATTTTCATTCTTTTTTTATTGATTCAAGTGTTTTAAGGCTATGAATTTTCCTCTGAGCTATGATTTAACTCTGTCCCACAAGTTGTTTTATTTTTGTTTTCTGGAAATTCTGAGACTGAATGTTCTTTTGTTTTCATCTTTAATATAGGAATATTTGGGAGAGATTATAGAAATTTTAAAATCTTGTTATCATGTCTGGTTTATTGTATTAGAATAATTTTTGGATACCTAAGGGCTTTCTTGATGCTCTAGAAAAATATTTAGTGGCTCACATGGTATGAGCTTAATTTAAAAGAAATGAGTTTCATAAACATCTTCTTGCTTAAGTGTGTTTCTATTTTCTCTGTACAGGTCTAGGACAAGTGACTAGAAGCCTCTTAGTATATTTATGCATATTTTTAATCTATATGTCTGATTTATGAAAGCTACTGCTATGCTATTTGGTATATGGGTGTTCATAACTTCTAGATTTTTATTGTGAGTGACACCACTTCACATTGATATATACTGTTATTCTTGGGTCAGATAATGAGCTTTGTCCTAAGTTCTAACTCATCTGAAACTAATGCCACAACCCTGCTTTCTCTGTCTTTGCACTGACCTGATATAGGTAATAATACTTTCCTTGATTTTCTTTTGGTCCTTTTGAGCCACATTGTGCTAAGTGTGTCTTATATAAATGAGAGTTGAATTTTGTTTTGTCATCTATAGAAAATCTACTTCCTTTAAACATATGAGTTAAGCTCATTTGTATTTATCAGTATGATAGATATTTCCTGCAAATGTCATATTTATTTTGTGTATGTTTATTTATGAAGTATGTTTTCCTTGTATTTCACGTAGTTCTTCTGACACATAAAAAGGTTAGTATTTTACATTATAGTGGATACTGCTTACGTTTTTATGCAATACTTTTTGTCCCTTCATTTTGGTATCACCCCTTAGTTAAAATATTGAAAGAGATAACATCTTTTAACTTAAATAGTCTATATATCAAATTTTTGTAGCATTTAAATGTGAAAAAATATTGTGTGTATTTAAATGTCTTGGCTCACTCTCCTTTTACTGTAGCAACATAGCTTGATGACATATAAGTTCGAGGTACGCATCATTGAGAATCAACATGTCTATAATGCTACATTAAGTTCAACACTAACAGTCTAATTCTATCCTTCTGGAATATATGTAGGTGCTCTTCATTGTTTCCTAGCATTGACTATTATTCTATCAGACAGTCTTTTGGAAATTTTATTTTCTTTCTCTTAAAACAATGGTGATCATAAAATTTTCTCCAAACCACATTTTGAGAGTGAAAGGTCACTATTTAAGTTGATTTATGTTTATGGAGCAATAGGCAGAAACCATGGTAACTGGGACATGTGTCTACCACATCTACACCGGCTTCATCTTTTGGTTGGGGTGCCTCACTTAGCCATTTTTTGTTCTCTTATCCATACTATACTTTCCTCGGCTACTTTATATTTATCATTCCTCTCATTAAAGTATTTCTTTCATTTTTACCTAAATTGTGTTTCCATATTGACAATTCTTAATAACTTTGCTCTTAGTGACTTTTCAATGTGTAGCTTATCCTTATTTTTCAGAAAACTTTTCTTGAATTATTTACCTTTAATTATCCTTAATTTCTGTTTTTTTTATTTGTTTTTTAGTTTTCTTCATTCTCTTTAACGTGTATACTATGCCTATCATTTCCCCTCAAAGGTCGCCATTGCTCATTCAATTTGCTTACTTTTTCATTTTTATCTTTATAGTTCACATGGTAATTGTTGATTAATGGTTCCCAATTAAACATGCTTCCTGATATCTTCACCCTTTTGCAGCCCCCACCTGAACTGACTCTCTATTTAGCTATGTGACTTGTTTAGCCAATAGATATCAACAAATATGACCATTGTTGAGGACCGATAAACACTAGTCCATAGAGGTTTATCCTCCTGGAATGCTGCCAATACTATATGAGGAAACCCAGTTAAAGCTTCTTGAGAATGAAAGACCACTGTCAAGAGAGGCTCAGTCATCCCAGCTTAAATAGTTTTCCACCAAATCAACAGCTGAACTCAGCCAGAGTGAGACCAGGTGAGATCAGAACTGCCCATCCTCTGAATCACAAGACACATTCAATCATCATTTTAAGCCACAAAATCTTTGGCTTGTTGTTATACATTATTAGGCTAACTGAAGAGAGAGAATGCTACTGGAAGTGTGGTGTAGCTGTAACAAAACCCAAAACACGTAGGACTGGCTTTAGAACTGGGCAGCAGATGGAGGCTTGAGAAGTGAAAGAAGTCTGTTGGCAAGGACTGAAGGAATAGCAAAGAAACTGTTGGCATTGGCTTGAAATGAGTTGAGGAAATCATCAGTGGCAGGGAAATGGCCCCATATTTTACAACAGCAAACATTTGGCAAAACTGCCAAGCACAGGTACAGGAATAAAGAATCATACCTGATGATCCAGTGGCTTTGGCTGGGGAGCTCACCTGTCAGAATGTTGACAGTGCCCAGTGGCTTCTTGTAGGTACAAACAGTTAGGCCTAGGAAAAGAGATATAAGCGATGGTGTCAACTATTTAGCTTGCAAGAGAAATTTAGGCATGAAGAAGAGGCAGAACTCTCTGGGTTGGAAAATAATTGCACATTTCCAGATTTTGCAATTAGAAAATATTATCAGCTTAATAAATGGCCTCTGGGGGAGGGGCCATTACGGATATGGAGAGCTCTGAAATCTACTTTCAAAATACCTTCCCCATTCTCTGCATTCTTCCATAGCTCTACCATCTCCCCTTCCCACAAGAGCTGTGTGCTCTGATTTTGCTGGGGTCAGTGCTTTTTAAATAAATTAACAAAAACTTGAAGTTTCAACATTTTCCTGTACAATCTAAGTACCTTCATAGAGATAAGGTCGAAGTTACCCTCGTGATTTTATTAGATGCCCCCTCCTCATGGCTCCTTTTTTTTTTTGCAATTAAAATTCAATTCAATAAATATTCACTGATAACTAATAATGCCCAATCAAAGCATCTGGGATCAGAGAGTCTAGGACTTTATCTTGATAGAATTGTGTACATATGTATATAGAGAGAATTATATATATATGAGATATATTATAATTACATATAATTTATATATGTAAGAGCAATAGCAATTAGATGAAGGATCCTCAAATCTCAGGGACCAATAAATAAAAAATGTATATTTTTTACTTAGTTCATGTAATTTGAAAGTCTTTTATAAGAGAAGAATCCCCTCTGATAAAAACAATGCTAATGTGAATATCTTACTCTAAAAAAATTAAGGCAAATGATCATAACTGCATGATTACTGAACATAGGATCAGCACATTAGCTTTATTTTGGGGTGTAGTATATGTTTCCATTATTAGAAATTAATGAAAATATGTCCAACTGTTAACACTGTGGTCATCATCTTTGTTAATGAAAAAATGCCTAAGCTAAGAAAAAGTGCATTTCCTCATCATTAAATAGAATCTCTTCCTTTTTTAAATTGCATCCATGTTTTAGTGAGTAACATGGTTTTACATCACTGTGTGTGATTTAGGAGTAGTTTCTACAAGGGTCGTTTTCAGGGGGAAGCAGAGGGCTCATAAACCAGCCATCTATTTTACTTTCTTTGATCTAAAAGAGTGAGCAGACAGTTGACATATTTTGCATGAGCTCAAAACTTGACCTTCAAAGACTTGAAATCAACTGAAAGTCAAATTGTTCAGCACAAAAGTTTTGTTTTGAAAAAGTCTATCAGATTTGTTATCACATGGCCAAGCTAAACATTGTGAATATTGAGATTTAAATCACATGCCATTGAAATTTTGGAGTGGGTTTTCAGTTTTGCCTGGATGAAAAAAGCAGCATCAGTTCTCCTGTCACTGTGGAATTAGTGGCATCCTTCTAGAACATTAGAGGTAACAGAAGACAGGGAGCCAACTGTCCATGATCCACACACAACTGACAAAACTAGGGATGGTTCTTAGGGCTACAGGGTGTTCATTTTCATTTGGCAAGAAACCTTTTCAAAACTGCATAGGTTGTTAAGATCTGTGAACCTTGGACAACAGTCCTTGCCAACCAATTTCTACTGGCAGAAAATGTCCATAACTTTGTGCCCACATGGAACAACATTAACTCCTATCTGCAGATCAGTGGTGTTAGAGAAAAAAGGATCTACCTAATCCATCTGGACTCATTTCTTCCTATGTCAGGATTCAAAGTCTGCAAACTGTGCCCAATCCTGGAAAAATTAGGGTCTAATGTCATAAAGGTTGATTGAACATCAGAACCAGCACCTTAAATTACTACCTTGCAAAGACTTATATTAAAAAAAAAAAGTTAAGTTCTAACATTAAGTTACTCTCTTATATGGAATTTTATTAGTTTTCTAGAAAAAAAGATATTTAGAGTGCTTCATTGAATTTCAGGAAAAAAATTCACTTTTTGAGAGTGAATTGAAAGCCCATTCTCAGAACACTTATCAGAGAAAGATTTATTCATAGAATCCTTGGAAGATATTTTTGGCCATATGAATGAACCAAATCTTCTGAATCAGGCTTTGGATTAACTATTTTAAATGGCAGTAAAACTCTGTGAGCAATTTTGGATAAGCTGCCATTTCAGAAAGGGAGTTTGGATGCAAACAACTTTGCAAACTTTCAAATATTAGAGGAAGAACTTCTGAAAACTGGAGCCTAGAGAAACTGAGCATGCCAACTTTTCTGCAAAAATCTGCATAAACATTTTGTAATTTCTGACATTAACACTGCTCAGAGACTTTATATTTCCTTTTCTTATCAGTTACTGCAAAAGATTACAGTATTAAGATTTTAAACAATTAACCCTTTTGCAGGTAGCTCTTCTGGAAGTATCATAAAAAATTATGTTACATGAGAGCCTCCCTGGTGGTGCAGGAGTTAATGACAGCACCATCAAGCTATCACCAGGCACTGCAGCAGGAGTTTGATCCCCCACTGGCCAATAGCAACCCACATGGCACAGCAGACCTCTCCTGTCTCGCCCGTTGCTCCCCTCAGCAGTGTATTTCAGTCTTCCTGTTCTGCTCCCCAATCTGTCTCTGGTGAATCCTCTCACCACACACACCTCTGGCCTGTACCGCAGTTCTTGTATGCATAAATAAATAAATTTTAAAAAAAAGACTAAACAGATAATTATTACTAATATTCTAAGGAGCTTTAGTCATTTAGTTACCTATACCTCTGTGTGTGTGCATGCACACACATACACACCAAAACATTGGCTTATACCATATATCCAGTTCACATATTTTTTTAAAGATTTATTTTTGCATACAAGAACCGGGGTACAGGCCAGAGGTGCAGTGGCTGAGAGGATTCACCGGTGGCAGAGTGGGGAGCAGAACAGGCAGACTGACTGAAATACACTGCTGAGGTGAGCAGCAGACCAGACAGGAGAGGTCTGCTGCGCCATGTGTGTCAGCTCCCTGGCTGGGGATTGAACTCGTGCTGCAGTGACTGTGGATCGCATCATAGTACTGCGATTTAACCGCTTGTGCCACCAGGGAGGCCCCCCGTTCACATATTTTTCCAGTAACAGCATTGTGAAAATATCTTGAATAATTACTCAAAAACTGGATAATTTTTTCATTATAAAAATGTCAAACATATGCAAAAAGAGAGAAAATAGCATAATAAATCTCTATGTGCCTACCAGCAACTCAATTATCATCATTTAGCCAATTATGTTTTATCAATGTCCCCATCTAATTTCCACTCCCCACAGTGGGTTATTTTCAAGCAGATCCCAGGCATCACTTTGTTTCATTAGTAAATTCTTCAGGATGTATTTCTAAAAGATTCTTTTTTTTTTTTTAAGGCACAATAGCACAATGCTGTTATCTCCCAAAATCATTTAAATAACTCTTAATATAATCAAATATCTAGTCAGTATACAAATTTCCCTGATTGTCTCTAAGACAATTGTTTCACAGTTGGTTTAGTAAATAAATGACCAAGCCTTCATGTTGAATTTTGTTGATTTGTTTCTTAATCTCTAATAATTTTCCCATTTCATATTATTTTTCTCCTTGTCATTTTACAGCAGCATTTGAGAGTCTTCATTGTATTCCACAGTATGGATATAACACAGTTTATTCAAATAGTTCTCAATTATTGAGCATTTAGCTTATTTCCAATTTTTCTCCTATTAAACAATGTTCCAATGAATATGCATATGGATAAATCTTTGAGCACACCTAGAATTATCCTATTAGGATTAATTCTTAGAAGTGGAATGCCTCATGGGTTTTTTTTTTTAAGCTTTTGATACAGCTTGTCAAACTACTCTTCAGAATGATTGAGCTAATTTACACTCCTACCAGCAGTTAGGAGCATATCTGTGCCCCCACACCCTCATCAACACCGCATATCTTTATTTTAAATATTTGCCAATGTGAGAGACCAAAAGATATCTTGCTGTTTTAATTTGCATTTATTTTGGATTAATACTAAGAGTGAGAGTGCCCTGAATCCTTGAATTCTTGTTGAGTGCTTACTGTGGCCACCAGAGCATTTTCAGATAATTCCACAAACGAGAGGTAAGTTTAAAGGGAAGGCCAGGAAAATGCAGATGTCTACTACTAAGCAGATTTAAGAAAAAAGTTTTGGTCCTGGTGAGACTATGAACTGCAAGAATTTATATATTTTTTTCTTGTCTGGAAGTTTAAGTACTTTACAAAATGTGACCCTATTCTTAGTTAATCTCACTGGAACAGAGACACTTTCCCCCATGGAATGTAGCTCCAGGCTCATTTTACTGTACTAGGGACACAGTTCTAAAATTGCATATTCACATGATTACAAAAGATCCTTTAACCTCTGACTCCTTACACAATGGACAAATTGTTTCCTGCCCAGTATCAATAATTGCTCCTCTCTGGGGTAGAATTCCTGGGAAGTAGGGATGAATCAGGATGGTGCAGAAGGAGTGAAAACCAAATGGCTTCCCCTGGAAGATGAGATGTGCAGCCAAAGTGAGGCTGAACTTTTCTTTCTATATGATTTTTGTAAATTAGAGCATATCTTTTGTGAATCTTCTCCACATTTTCCTTGCCAGTCAATGAGTGATGAACAAATGAAAGAATGAACAATCACAATTTGGGTGTAATCTTTCAACTAGTTTAAGTCAACCAAATTGCTATCTTTTAGTTCATATTTCATTTTCTTGTCAACTTGTACTGCAAGAACTATCCAGTCTGATATTCAACTATTTTAAATCAGGCTTTTCTAACTTCTTTCTCAGAAGTTTTCAAAGCAACTTAAATCATGTCTCATCTCTTTGTATCCTTCAAATGAGGTTAGTCAAGATCTCACTGGTATAAAAAACAATAGATCAAAGATCACAGAATTATCGATCATAGTTTTTTTTTTTTTTCCTCAACATTCTGTGAAGGACCCTCTTCCTGAGGATAACCTAACTATCTACCTTGCATTTTTATGCAGTTCCTTTTTCCCTCATCCAGGTCCTCCTTCTACCAGTTACCTCCTCTCT